TTCTCTCTCCCAGGTAGAGTGCCGCGAGGGCGTCTTGGCGTCGGGCGGCCTTGACCACGTCGCGAACAAGTCGGCGCCGGTCTCTGACGGTGCTCGTTTGTGCGCCCGCCTGGCTCGTGAGCATGGCCTACGCCGTCGATTCTGCGTACATTCCAAGGGGATATGGAATGAGAAGGCGCGTGCGCGTGGGCATGGCGCACTCGATGTGAACACAGGACTGATCGATGAGCGGTGGTCTCGCATCAAGGAGTGGATTCCGAAGGGAATCTGGGGGAGTGACGGCGAGGGCAACCTGAACGTGGAGCTTTGGAGCTACGTCTACCAGTGGTGGTTTCGATGCCATAATCCTTTGAAAGCAGACAGGCAGGCGCGCTTGGCAGAGTACTGGGGGCGCGAGGCTCAGGGCACCTAGGCCTTGCGAGCAAAAAGAGCAAAAAGAGCAAAGCGCTCTGAGGCTCCCTGAGCCTCCCTGGGCCTCCCTGAGGCTCCCCGGGGCTTCCTGAGACTCTCGGGGACTCTCTGAGGCTCCCTGGGGTTCCCTGAGGCTCCCTGAAACTTTCTGAGGCTTTCTGAGGCTCTCTGAGACTCCCGAAAGCTCCCTGAGGCTCTCTGAAGCTCCCTAAGGCGCACTGGGGCGTACTGAGGCTCCCTGAGGCTCCCTGAAGCCCCCTGGGCCTCCCTGAGGCTCCTCTTCACAGGGCGCACTTACACAGATGTACACATGCCCACATACATACACATCGACATATACCCTATACACATATGTATACACATACACATACTTACAAGTACAAAGAAACATATACGCGCATATATCACACATACCATACATCGTGCACCGGGTGCAAGTGCACCCGCAGGGGTATATATGTGTATATGCGCACATCTCCAGCCACGCACGATCTAGGTCTGGGAGGCCTCGGCTTGGGGTTGGGGCCCGCCGGCGCCCCGCGTTCGCACCTCGAGTCCCCAGCGCGGGGGGCCCGCGGGGGCGCGGGGGGGGGGCCCTGTTGATTGGTCCACTCCAGAGCGATGATTCCTCGTCCGCTTGTTCTTCCTCCGTCTTCTCCTCGAGGAGCAGCGCTGTTCCGGATCCGCTGCTTTTGTTATCTTCGCCCCTTCGGGGCGAAACGCGTTGTGTGCTGCCGAGGAATCCGCGTGCTTTTCTGTCTGGCGTGATGATGATAGCTGACGTGAAACTTGCTAGAATGGCGCAGGTGGCCGTTGCTTCGCCGAGATCGTTGGCTGCGCCAGTCAAGCCGCGGGAGCCTGAGTGCCTTGGCGGGGCCCAGGAAGGGCGAAAGCTTGGGCGTTACTGGCTAACCGCCACATTGACCCCACCAGCTGGCGGGGCTTTCCACGTCGCAAAGAATCGATGCCGCGCTCAGAGGCCGCCCCCTGCGGCGTCGAGGAATTGCCGCGCCCGCCAAGCATTGCCAGCCCGAAACGGACACAGAGGCCACCACTTGCTCAGCCCCTGTGGTGCCGAGAAAGTGCCGCGCCTGCCGCGCCCTGCGAGCCAGAGACGGATAGCGCCCCCACCCGTTGTTCACCCCCCCACGGTGTCGAAGATGTTCCACGCCTGCCACGCTTCGCGAGACCGCGAAACGGATAGCGCCCCCCGCCCCCCCCAGCACATCCCCTGCGGCGCCGAGGAACTGCCGCGCCTGCCACGCTGTGCGAGCCCGAAACGGATAGCGCCCCCCCCCCCCCCCCCCTAGCGCATCCCCCGATGGTGTGTGGGATGCGCCGCGCCTGCCACGCTTGCGCCCCCGAAACGGACGGCGCCCCAACCCGCGGCGCACCCCCAGTGGGATGCGCCGCGCCTGCCACGCTTTTGCGCTCCCGAAACGGACGGCGCCCCAACCCGCGGCGCCCCCCTGGCGGCGTCGAGGAACGCGGGCCTCGCGCCGCGTGCCTCAGAGCTGAAGAGCATGAGGGGCGGATTTCAACTGGGCGATCAAACGTGCGCTCGCGGGGGGGGGGGGGGGGCGCAGTTGCGCAAGCGCGTGAGCTCAGCCCTCAATGGATCTGCGCTTCTGCGCCGCGCGAAGGATGGCTCGACTGGCCCGGGGCCGGCGGGCGTTGCTTGGCCCCCCTAGGCGCGCGAGCCTCTCAATCATATGCTGGCGGTGCCATCCTTTGGCGTCGCCCGCAACCCAGCGGTGAAGAAATCGGCCGAATGCGCAGCGGGCGACGTCTGATGGGGCCCCGCGGCCCGCGCAATCGATGGCGCGGCCCACTGCTTCAAGCATCGGGCGGGCGACGGGGGCCCCGCGGGTTGCGCCGAGGGCGCCGGCAATGGTCCGCTCGACGAGGCGCTCGCTGAGGACGTTGTCAACGTGGTCAAGACTCCTCAAATCCTCGTGACATGCTGGCACGGCTTGGCATGACTGGGTGCTTGCATTTTCCGAATCAACTGAGGAACATCGTCTCTCTTGCCATGGGGCCCATCCAGATGATCGTCTGCGCCGACGTTGCCGCGGAAGTTGCAGCTGCAGTATTATGCGACGGGGCTTCGCTCCGCAAGCCAACGGTTGCGGAGAGGGCGGTTTCTTGGCTCGGTTGTTCGAAGCCCTGGAGGCCGCGCGTGCTGGCGGAGTTGGCGTCCCTGCAATGGGATTTGTGCTCATAACGGCGATGCAGCAGAAACTCGGAGCGGGCGCGAAGGATGATGCTACTGCGGCGAATGTGGCGAACCAAATCGTTGCCGGCATGCTGGCCATCGTCGCTGGCAGGCACGCAATGGCGCCCATGCCCTTCAACCAGGATCGCCAAGGGGAACGTGCGTCCCGCTGTCTGACGCGGGCAAAGGGCATCTGGCTAACAGCGCCGACCTGCCGGCATTCCGCCGCCTCGGCGGCGCAGCAGGATGGCCGGCGCTCGGAGCCAGGTCACTGAGGAGATGGTCGACAGCGGCTTCGGCGCGAACGCGCGGCGATGCCGTGGCGGTAAATTCGGAATCCTTCCCTGCACGGTTGAGGAGCTCAACTTGTTGCGTCAACAGCGCGGTCGTCGCATCTGCTTCCTCTGGGAGATGGAGGGCGGGGGGCAAGACAGAGGGAGGGCGAGGAGGGGCAGAGAGAGGGGGGGAGAGGAGCTGCCAGAGGAGGATGACGACCAGGAGGCGGCGGAGGAGGAGAAGGAGGAAGAGGAAGAGGAGGATGTTGAGGGTCACTATTTTTCCTCCTGCATTCTTGCCGCCCTCCCTCACCACCCTCCTATAGTAACTAGACATCGGAGGAGGAGCAGGAGTGATATAAGGAATCTGCAGAGGATGGTTTTTGAATCGGGTGAACGTTTTATTCGCCAACCTCATTATCGGTTTCCTGTTTCTTCTCCTCCCCCATCATCTTCCTCATCTTTCTCCGCCTCCTCCCCTCTTATCCATTTTGCTCGTTCTGTCCTCGTCGTATCCGTTTTCCAACGCGACATTCATTCAGCACTCCGTCGGATTCCCCCTGCACCTCATGCCGAGCGCGCGACAGGAATGCTGGAGGAGAAGGAGAAGGGGCGAAAGGAGGACGAAGAGGAACATGATGATATTGTCAATGATTAGCTGCGGTTTACCATCCGGTTGGCCTTTTTCAAACATTTTTTGTTGTCCTCCTCATTCTATCACTCCTCATCTTCCCCCTCATCACCGCCCCCCCTTCGCCCCTATGGAAGGATGATAAGGGGGTGGTAGCGGGGAGAGTGATATGAGGGAAAAGAGAGCGGGCCCAGAAGGCGGTCCATGTGTAGGCATACGAGGAGGCGGAGGACGATTATGAGGCGTGGCGTATGAGGAGGATGCCGAGGCTGCCGCAGACACTTGGCAGGATGAGGGGGTGGAAAGTGATGAACCTGTTGGCGATGTGGAAAACGATAATCATGGCGATGGGTAGTTCTGACGCCTCCATCGTCATCATCATGATCCCGTCGCCCCCTGTCTCCTCCTCACATAACCCATATGTTTCTCTTTTCTTTCACATCTCACACTTGGACGGAAGGTGGCAGCGCGATGAGATCAGGAGGATTAAGAGGGAGAGGAGGGGTGGTGCGAGGAAAATGACGGGTTTGATAATGGCGAAAACCTTCAACAACCGCGCTTTTCTATTATGCTGCTGTTGCCAGTCTTCATGCTCAGCATCGCCCCATTGTTGCATCGCTCTTGTTCATCCTTGCCATATTCGTCTTATCTTTCCTGTGGGGAAAAGGGGGGGGGGGGGGGGGGGGGGGGCGGGGGGCAATGAAAAACGAGGTGATTGAGGAGGAGGAGGAGGAGGAAAAAGGAAAAAGAGGAGGAGGACGAGGGCCAACGACCCCTTACACACCTACCGGCATCCTCCTCATAATTTGCCGCCTCAGGCAAGTCTTCGTCACCCCCTATAACCTCATCGTGATCCGCCCCCCATATCCTCCTTTTTCTGCCCATCATGTGAGAGAGATGGGAAACAGGAGGGCGATGAGCATGAGTGCTAGACAGAGGAGGACAAGGCGGAGGCCTGATGAGAGCAAGAGAAGATCCAGGAGGAGGAGGTGGATATGAAGCTGCTGATGAGCAGGAGGTGGATGTCGAGGAAAAGGAAAAGGACAAGCACCGAGGACGGAGTAGAGCCGAAAGCCCCACATGTCCATCCAGCTTGGCGCCATGTAGCAGATGAGTGGGCAGAGGATGCGGACGAGGAGTAGGAGGAGTGGTAAGCTGTTAATGAGCAGGATCATGAGGAGATTGAGCAAGGGGAATGATGCGAGGAGCAGCAGGGGGCGTACGATGAAGAGGAGGAGGAGGGGGGGGGAGGATAATGACGATATTGTTGTGGGCATTTGGCAGGAATGAGAACGACGAGGGAAACGACGTAACGTGGATGACTCATTTCTTACTCATCCTCATCATCGCCATCGTCGTGATCCCACCAGTCCCGTTCTTCATGCCACTCATCATCATCGTCATCATCATCATCATCATCATCATCCGTAGCCATTTTGGCTCAAGCTGTTTCTCCGGACTTTCGCAGGCGCCCACGCGCAGCGGTCAGCGGCGCGCGACTGGGAGATGAGCAATGGCGACGGGGGGCTGCCCGCAGGCGCGATGGCGGGGCGGCCCACCAGGCGCGGCAGTGCGCTGCGCAGGAAGGAGGAGGCCGAGGTAGGCGCCTCGGCGGCCCGCCGACGGGCGCGGGCGCGGCGCCTCCTCGCCGCCGCGGCGGCAGTCGGCAAGGCGGCCAGCGGCGGCCCAGGTTCCTGGCAGGACCGGGAGGCTGCTGCGCGCCCCGCCTTGCGCCGAGCCGCCGCGGGACGCCGCGTCCCAGGCGCAATGCGGCGGCGGCGGAACGCCGCGTGGAACGCGCTGCTGGTCCCTGCGGGCGGATTCGCGCGCGCGTCCGTAGCGGGCCTGTCGCGGGCCGCCGCAGGCCCCCGCCTGGGCTGGCTGCCCTCGCTCCCGGAGGCGGCCGCGCTGCCCTTCGGCGACTACGGTGAGGTACCCGACGAGCACTGCCAGGCTCCCGGTGCCATGGACTGCCCAGCGTTGGGCGGCGCTGCCGCCACTGATGGATGGCGGCGCCCCCCCATCGTGAGCTTCGCGAACCAGGTCGTCGCCGTGGCAGTGGACGGCAGCGTCCAGACGGAGCTCCTGGGGGGCGAGGATCACCTCGATCGCCTGCGGCGGGTCTTGCGCCAGCGGCTTGAGGCGGCACAGCGGCCCGCGCTCAAGCCTGCCGCTGCCCTGTTTGCCCCGCTGCCCGAGGTGCTCCAGGTACGGATCGTTGGCATGCTATCCCTGCCCGACAGGCTGCGGTTGTGCCAGGCCTCAACTGGGGTCGCCTGGACCTTCGAGAGCAGCCCCTGTCGGCTCGCGGAGGCGCTGGAATCGGATCTGCGGGACGCGGCGCTCCTGCAGCAGCTGGAGGGCGCAAGGCTGCACAGGGGCGCGAACGCCGACGTGGACCTGGGCCGCGGTTTCGGCTCCGACTACCAGCTGGACATGCTGAGGGGGGAGTTGCACCATCCCGCGTCGAACCGCACCCAGTACAGGGCTCTGGTCGCGAAGCAGGCCCAGGACATCCGCTCCCTACGGGAAGGCTGGGCTGCTGCGGTGCATGCGCTGCGGGACCAGCTCGCCACGCTCAGGGAGCAGCTGCAGGCGTACATCGCGATGAGCTCGGATGCGCCAGCGGCCGCGGGCGAGCACAACGACGACGCATCCGATGGCTCGCTCTCGTCCCTCGTGGTGGAGGATCGAGGTGATGATTGCGAGTTCTCCGACGGGTTCGATGCTTCCGATGTCCTCCTCGATGGGACTGTGGGCTTCAGGGCCTTGCCCCCCCCTGCCTGCTCTCACCGACTGCCCGATCGGTTTCAGGGCTCACTTGGCTGTGGGACGGCGGGGATCCCACCGACATGAGGCGCATCGCCGACGAGCTGAAGTGGGCGGCTGCGACCCCCGTTCCCGATGAGCTCGAGGGCGACACGGTGGACGTGGTTCCCGAGGGCGCCGCGGCGCCAGGAGTCCACGTGGACGATATCGAGTTGGACGACCTGCAGGCGATCATCCAGCAGCACTGCGCAGCGGGGGGGAGGCTCAGAGTCCCCCGAGGCGCTGGCCCAGCTGCTGCGGGCGACACCACTGCCCCTGCAGGAACTAACGGCGACGGGTTCGGCGACGTCGGCGGCCGATCCGTTCCCTACAGCGGCGATGGCATCGACACAGGCTTCTTGTCTGCAGGCGAGCTTCTGGAGGCGGCGGCCGCCTCGCGGTTGGCCCTCGCAGCGGCCAGCTTCCTCCTCGGGGTCCCACTCGAGGCGCCCCAGGCCTTAGACGCTCAGATGCCCGATGAGGCAATTTGCTTGCCAGTTGTTGCCGCTCTTTATCAATAATTTGGCGCTCGACACGGCCGCGTCGGTCGGCGGCGCTTCACTCTCGTGCCGAGGGGGGCCCGTCGCGAAGGCTTCGCACTCGCTGGGTTCTCTCTCTGCTGGCGCCCTCGGTAGGCCGTGCACTCAGCTCTGAGCGCTGGGGTGCATGGCGCACTGATGGAGCGACCAAGGTAGCTAGGCGCACGTGCGCCCGCCCGCTGGGGGGCCTTGGTGCCTTCACGGGATCTGCTCGTGTCGCAGGCGGGTCCAAGGATCACGAATGCCTGCGCCGAGCTGCTGCCTCTGGGGGGGGGGGGACCCCGTGGCGTAGGCTGTGCCCCGTGGGGCTCGGCGCACGCCAGGGTTCACTCCCTCCCGCCCCTCTTGGGCAGCGTCTTACGTTCGGCGCCGTCCGCCGGCTCGCTGCAGAGCAGCCGCAGCGGCGCGTCGGCGGGCCCTGGCGTTCTTGCACGGCCGTCTGATGGTCAGCCGCTCCGAGCGCCTTCGGCGCCTCCGTTTAATGTAGCCGCTGGCGCGCCTTGGGCGCGGCAGCCCGCGCAGCTTGCTGCGCTCCAGCCCGCTCTGTGCTCTGTGCCGCGCCAGGCGGAGGCCGAACCGTGGTGGTAGGCTGTGGCCGACCGTCAGGATCGCCTCCGAAAGCCACCTCAGAGCAAGTCGTCCCCGTCTGAGGCCTGGTGCCTAGGGGACTGTTGCTCTGGTGTGGCGCGCCGAGCTGTCTGCGAGCTGAGTCGCCGTGAGGGCTCGGATGCTTTGCTGACCGCCTGCCTTTGGCTGGGGCGGTCGGCGGCCTCAAGGCTTTCGGGCGATCTTCGAGTGTGCCTTGGGCACGGGTCAGGCCTTGCGTCCGCAGCGCCAGAGGGAAAGGCCATGGCTTCGGGAGGCTGTATCGAGCGGGGAGCTCCAGACCTTCTTGGATGCGTGGATCATCATCATCATCATCATCATCATCATCATCATCATCATAATCATCATCATCATCCGTTTTTCTCCTCTTCAGTTCTGGAAGGCGGATGAGGGGTGTCGAGGAGGAGTGCCTGGGGAAACAGCAGGATACGTAAGATTAAACAGGAGGAGGATAAGTAGGAGTGGGAGGAGAAGGAGGAGGCGGAGGAGGAGGTGGAGGAGAAGGAGGAGGAGGAGGTGGAGGGGGAAGATGTATTACTACTGCGGCTGGCAATTTCTAGTATGAGGTACAACTCGTCCCCCATCGACGGAAAGTGGCGCGGCGCGCCATGCCAGGGTATCATCGGCGCCGTCACTATTTGCATCACCGAGAGCCCAAAGCATCACCACCATCGATGCCATCATCTTCGGCAATCAGAAAAACTTGCAAACGCGTGGTGCCATGGGGTCCTCAGACCGTTCGGTGACTGACCGTGCGGTGGGGTCTGCCGAATTCTAGGCCTCCCAAGTGGGGTCGGAGAAGGCGGGGTCGGTGGATCGCGTCGCATCGCGGATGCATCGGCGATGTCGTTCGATGTGGAGCCCGGTGTTCTTCACGCCGACGTCGCCGACGCATCGCCGACATCGGCGATGCATCGCCGATGTACAGTCCAGCCGCAAAGTAAGGATGAACGATTTTCAAGCTTACGTTTGCATCTTTGCCCCCTCGGCCAACCCTTAACGACAGTCGCTGGTCAGCCCCGCTCGAAAAGCGTAAGCATGACCCTCGAAGGCCCTTTGCATCCTCACAGCGCATCCTTACTATGCGGTTTAATCCGTATCATAAAGACGCTTGGTAAGGAAGCAATGGTTTGGGAAGGCCGTTTCGGAGTTTTTCCAGCGGGTCGCGGCCGACGAAGGTGGCCAAGGATGGACCGAGGAGGCAAGGATGCAGCGGTGCCCTTGGGAAAATTGCCCGCCACTGCTGTGAAGCCTGAGTGTATCGCCGATGCATCGGCGGTGTGGCGCGACCCTCCGACCCCAGCAGCTCGGACCCCTCTTTAGGGGGCCACATGCGAACATCACCCCTACCCCCCACGATTTCTGAGGGGGAGGATGGGGTTCACTTCGCTCGGGAGCTCCCAAGCGGAGTGAACCCCACCCTCCCCCTCAGAAATCGTGGGGGGTATGGGGTGGGGTTCGCATGTCGCCCCCCAGCCGATGCATCGGCGGTGTGGCGCGACCCTCCGACCCTGGCTGCTCGGACCCATCCTGGGGGAGGCCTCTCTACGAGCGGCGGCGACGACCCTCGGCGGCGGCGGCGTGCGGCGGCGGCCCCCCCGAGGGGCCCGCCGGCAGCCGCCGGGGGCGCCGCGGGCGGCCTGGGCTGGCTGTGAGGGCGGCGCCGCGGGGCGCACCCGTCCGTGCCAGCTCGAAGCCAAAAGTCGTAGTCGATTTCTCGTTCTCGGAGGAACGCAAAACTATTCCTATTTCTCTTTCTCTAGTTCGGGCTCTACAGGAGGAGCGTCCCAAAATAGTCAAACAATAGTCTGGGGACGATGTTTTTAAACATATGGTTGGATTATTGTTTGGGGTATGTGTTATTTGTCTCGGGGGTGGACAGAGCCCCCACCCTGACACGTCGATGAGTGAATTGTCCGTTTTCGGTTCTCGAGGAGGTGCCGCGGCCGTCATTTTCGGGGCTTGCGCCCGCCAGGCTTGGACCCGAGGTCGTTTTCACTAAACTTCCTTTTGCTAAAGGGGGTTCTGTCCGTCCCCAACAAAGGGCATACAGATACAATTGAAGCGCTCCGCGCGGATTTCTTGGATCCGCGTTGGGCCCCCCTCTGGCGGCGTCTCCGCGCGCCAGGGAGGGGGCTCCAGCGCAGATCCAAGAAACCCGCGCGGAGCGCCAACAGTTTATGTTCATGCCGGTGATCTTCTGTCTAGCACCCCCGCCAGCTCGAAGCCAAGGGTCGCAATCGATGTTTTTCATCGTGAGCACATAAGAACCTGCTAACACAGTGCAGACGTGGCCTTGCTGAGGCCCTCGTCCTCGCATTGGGGATCATACATCTGGGTGGTTTGGTTTGACACATTTGCAGAATAACAAAAACACAAACCCTAATTGTTTTTGGCCCTCCTAACTTGGGCCCCCTCCCAACAGGTTAGGGATCCTTTCGTTGCTAATCACTCTCGCCCCTAAGTCTCTGGGTCTCCCAGATGGGATCCGAGCAGATGGGGTGGGAGGGTAGCGACGCATCGCCACTGCGTCGGTGATGTGGCTCGGTGTGGAGCCCGAGTCTGTCCATGTCGACGTCCCCGATGCATCGCCGAGGCGTCGGCGACGCATCCGCAGCATCGGCGATGCAGCGCGATCCTCCGACCCCATCTGCTCGGGCCCCATCCAGGAGGCCTTTAGTGTCGCAGCCGGTTCTTAGATTCCCTGAGGAGCCCTATTGATTTTCCAAGGAGTCTTGTGGATTTCCGCCAGATCCCTATGGATTCCCTGAGGAATCCTACGGGTGCCCATAGGACTCCTATGGATTGCCTGAGGAATCCTATGACTTTATTCAACAGACGAGTCAAGTCTCCCAGAAAAGAAAGGAGACTCGGGGAGACACCCCAGAAGGCCATTCGGACGCACCCTTCTCGAGCATGGACGCTCTCCGTCTTACATCCACGAGTGGAGGAGGAGGAGGAGCAGGAGGAGGAGGAGGAGGAGGAGGAGGAGGAGGAGGAGGAGGAGGAGGGGAGGGGCTCCACATGAGTCGGGGAGACGCATCCCGTGTGAAAAGGGGCGGGGGGCAGCCCCCGCAAGGCACACGATTTTTCTCCTCCCTGGCCCCCGAGTTCCCCCCCGGAAGGGCGGGCTGCCGAAGGACGGCCGTCTCGCTCACTCCCGCCCGCCCCCTGGATGGACGGGAGCGTGACGTTCGCGACGCTGGTCGCACGTGCCAGGTGCTGGCACCAGGTGCGCCAGGCGCACCAGCGCGGCGAACGCACGGTGGAGGCCCATGCCAAGGAGCGACCTGCTTGCCTCCAGGGTGCCCTGGGTTTCTTGGGCTTCGACTGTTTGGCCGTGGAAGGGGTGAGACGTTCCCACACCAACAAAAATCAGTGGACGTCCTGGGGTTACATGGTTGGGCTTCTTGTGGAAGGTTTTTTGTCCTCTTATAGTCAGAGACTCATGAACAGACGCTCACTACTGCATAAGATAAAACATGATATGCACATATGAGGAGCTCCAAGCAGTGAGTAATTGTGATCTGGCCCCTACTGTACGTATATCCACGCCCTCGCGGTCTGGATGCCGAGGTACGATCCAATGGACACACGGCCGCACGGCTGTGTTCCGTGCGGGCAGCCGCGGGCCCTGGATATATACGGATATGTTTTTTCCGCCCCGCAGAACTGGAAAACTCGGGGGTGCGCTCCCAGAGGGCTATTCGGACGCACCCCGGGCGAGGATGCACGCCCTCCCGTCGTTCGGGGGCCCCCAAACGGGGCGGTGACCACACCGTGCGGTGAGTCGGTGGGGATTCGGGGTCACCGCACAGTTTTGGGACTCGGGTCGTTCTCCGAGGACGTCTCGGGCGATAGGGGCCTCCGGGGTCCCAAGACCGTGCGGTGGTGGACCGTGCGGTGAGGTCTTGCGGGATTTCGAGGTCACCGCACGGTTTGTCACCGCACCGCTTCGGGACTCCCAAATCGTATATCCCCGAGGTCTCAAATCTTTGGTCCAGTCAGAATCGCCCGCACAGTTGGGGACTGGGGTCGCCAGGTCATCCGTCAGGGGAGACAGGATGGAGTCCGACGAACTGTGCGCGGTGGCGGTCCTCAACAGTTTTCCAGCCTCGTGGTGCTTTCCATCGGGGACGGTCACTGATACAATCATACGCTTTCTTGGATCAACGCTGGAGCCCCCCCTACCTGGCGTGCGGAGTGCGCCACGGGCGGCGCCGGAGGCGCCGCCAGGGGTCTCCCGTGCCGATCCGAGAAACCTGCGCGCACTTCTGACAAAGTGTTCCCATGTTGTTGTCTGTTCCCCGATTCTAGCAGCTGCGCCTTGTCCAATTCCAAGGTAGGGGGTAGGAGGGGTAAACTCAGTCCAGGTCCAGGGGAGGGGCGCTCGCGGTGCGCCCCGTCCAGGTCCAGGGGAGGGGGTAGGGGCAGGGATCAAGATCCCCCCCCTAGATAGCAAGTCGTCTAGCTTACTCCCACCCCCCCTCCAAAGACATCAGGAACACCCGAGCCTGAGCATGTTCAGCGGCCGTCTTTGAATGGACAGCTACTGGGAACCAAAACCGACCCCATGTGCGCGACGTTGGGGCGAGGTGCGCCACGCGTGCCAGGCGCGCCACGCACGCCAGGCACCCCTGGGGTCCGAGCGTGCCAGGCACGCCTTGTGCGCCAGATGCGCCACGTGCTCCGCGTGCGCCAGGTGTGCTGCATACTCCAGCCGCGCCAGGTGCGCCGCGTTCAGGGTACGTGCAGAGTGTGTCAGGTGCGCCTGCGCACGTGACAGGACTCATCGGGAAACATGTCGGCCCCCACCATCCTTTTCGAAAACCAATGCCCATCATTGTGTCTGGTGGGCCTGCGCACAGCAGGCCATACGCCACCAGCCCCGCCGTTCCTGTCAAAAACCACTTGACAGTGATCGTGGGATGGCCGTGCATTATCCAGATTTAGCCGCGAGGTGCATTGTGCATTGTTTTTTGTTAGGGATGGTAGCCCTGCGCACAGCAGGCAATATGCTGACACTCCCGCCGTCCCTGTCAAAAACAATACAAAGTGCTGGCGGGCCTCACGAACATGACTTAAGATCTTGCCCCAAAGTGTCCTTTGTATTGTTTTTGACAGGGACGGTGGGGGGGGCGCATCGGGTTGGCCACGCTCCTGGTTGGCCGCCGGTCGCCTGGGGGAGGGTGTGTGTATTCATAGGGAACAGAGATGAACCCCTCCCCGAAGGGGAAGAACGGGGGTTAGAAGAGGAGCCCCTCTAGAGCACCTACGCCCAAAGGGCTGGTGGGATTGTTCCTCTCTTGTTGCTGACTGGTTGTTCACCGATTCCAGCAGCTGCGCCTCGTCGTGAGCGTTCTGGGACTGCCAAGAATCGCTCTGATCGGGCTCCAGGAGCCGGGCCGAGCGGGGCGCGCCTCTGGTGCGCCAGGCGAGCCGCAAGCCCCACGTTCGCCAGGTGTGCGCCACGTGCTCTGCCTGCGCCGCGTGCGTGGCGCGCGGCAATCTGCGCCAGGTGCTCTACAGTCAACCCGCATGGAAAGGATAGGGAACCTTCCCGAGAGTACCCTTGCGTCCTTGCCTCCTCGGCCCATCCCCGGCCGCTTTCGCTGGCCAGCCTCGTTCAGAAAACGTTCACACGGCCCCCCCGAGGCCCTTGCATCCTTCTCGTGCGTCCTTGTTACACGGGTCGGCTGTACTACACGCGACAGCACGCATCGCGGCGTCGTCCCCCCCATCGTCGTGGTGTTGTGCGCTGCGTGTACCCGCGAGCACCCTGCATCTAGTTCTGACCGGGATGGGGGGGGGGACGCGCGCGCCGCACGATCTGCGGACACCCCCCAGTCATCCCCTTCAGCTGACAATGCAACGCATTCGCGGGGCGCCCTCTCATCATCAAGCGTTTCGCCGCAGCGTTCGTTCTGCTTCCTCTCCTGGCAGGGGCGGGCGGCGGCGCCATCGTGCTGCCCCCGCGTGTGCAGGCCGCGAAGAACACGATTGAGGTTTTGTTGCCTCAGCGTGTTTTTTTGTTTGTGCGACAGGGACCGTGGGGGGTACAGTCAACCCGCAGAAGAAGGATGGGCAACCTTCCCAAGGGCACCCTTGCATCCTTGCCCCTTCGGCCCATCCTCAGCGACTTTCGCTGGCCACGCCCCGCTCGCAAAGTGTCGACACGGCCCTCCAAGGCCCTTGCATCCTTACCGCGCATCCTTGTGATACGGGTTGGCTGTAGGGGGAGGGCGGCCTTACTCCCGTCGCGGCCCCGTCGAGTGGGGGAGGGCGGGTTTTCACTGAGGGGCTGTCGTAGCCCCGTGATTGGAGCCAGGTGTTCTTGGGGCAGATTTCGACACGTTCGCGCGCGTGTGACCCGCATGGTACTTCTCTATACGAAATTATGGAGCGCCCATTTGATAATAGTTTTGAAGTATGGTATGTTGTAATGGCATCTTGCTATGGTCTTTTGATGGTATGTTAGTATTCGCTATTTGATCGGCATTATTTCATTATGTACCTCTATATACGAAATTATGGGGAGTTCTCCGCATAGTAGGATCTGACAAGGATAACAGGGGGGATGTCGATACGGGGTCTGGGTTGGGCGGTTCTGAAGTTGGAAGGACCGATTCGTGCATTAACCATGTGAAAAACCAGTGCGCGGCGATGAACCGCGATGGGCGGCTTCGGCAAGGGGATATAGAGTTCTCAGAGCAGATCGTCCAAGTATGCAGGAATGCGTGGGGAATGCAGAGGGGAAGCCAT